ACTATATCTGACTCTTACCCATCCAGGTCATGGTATCTTCAGGAGCTACATATATTCACTGTGTACACATGTACAATTATGTGAGTACCTAGTTGTCAATACTAAATTTGATTTGATTTGCTACTCTTAAGGGGCTTTTCAATCATGTTTTGTATTCTCTATTTCCGGTTTTGCTTTGATATATTTTCCTTAGTGTGTCTGTTGTTTTTTCCATACTGCTTTTGCTTGTTTTCCTACCTTTGTGTTCAACACCGTGAAGTGTTTCACCTGTGTCCAATTATCCCTGCTTCCTGTGTGAATTTAGTCTTCATGCTCCAAGTCTTCTTTGTCAGTTCATCTGTTAAGTTCCTTCACTGTAAAATTGTGCAAATATTGGCACAGTGAAGACCATTTAATGAGAAATAATAAGGCTACTTTCCAGTTTGTAGATAGGTAGGTAGTAAAACAGGAAATCCAACTCAAAAACACAAGAACAAACCTGAGAAAACTAAACAGCAACACAAACACACAGCATGTCTTAACATGGCTGCCAGTCCTCGTCTGCAGTCCCAATCAATCCCTTTGAAATATCCACACAGTGTGACTGAAAGGTAGACTGCTCCTTCTCCTCCTTCTGGTAAACCACTTGCCATAGTCTACTCTTACTTTCCCAGTTACCGGATCACCCACCTCCTCATTGTCATCAATGGCTATTCTTGGATTCTTCTGCACGCCCCTTTCTGGCCTCGATGCACTCTAGCCCTGCACTGGTCCAACCATAGGGTTCAGATTAAGATGGAGGCAGGGCGAGCTCTGACACTCCTGCTTTGGACCTCAATCAATTAATCAAATTTGATTTGTATAGCCCATATTCACAAATTCCAATTTGTCTCATAGGGATTAGCAGGATGCCACATCCTCTGTCCTTAACCCTCAACAAGAGTAAGGAAAAACTACCACAAAAAGCCCAGGACAGACCGAAGTGCAACAGACTCTCTGAGGCCCAAAAAGAATTCTGTCTATGGAATGCCATTGGAAAAGAGACTCTTGACAGGTCACCTCTAACTGCAAGCTCAGTCAATTATTACTCCTTTTTGACATTTTTGAGATGTTTTTCCTAATTGAAATTATACCTTCTTATTTGTTAGTGGACGGTACTGACGAAGCAAAGGGGCCATTGACATGAAACAAAGGTCAAACTGGGGGATGATGAAGTAATGTGGTGTGGATCACAACTGTGCAGCTGTCAGGACACCCCAACCACAATTATTTGTTCTATAAATTTATTTTTTATTTATGCAATTTGTTGTGGTGAAAACCAAGTTCCACTCGTGGTCCAAAAGTCCAAGAATTCTGTTGAATAAAAAGCAGGAGAAGTCAACTTAAAAGCAGCAAAGTTTTAATGTCGACAAAAAACCCCAGAGCATTCAGTAGCGAGCCTGAGCTGCACCAGAAAAACTCTGACTAACAGTGGTGATGTTCCGCTTTATCTATCCTTAGGGCCACGCCTGTTACTTATCTGACTGGTCTATCATTTCATCTATCATTTATGGTCTGACGTCGTGACCTAAGCTTATTGGTTATTGGGGACATCGTGAACTTCCCTCCTGGAAAGTATCCAAGCACCGGGGTTACTTTGGTACGTTGGACTTGAGTTTACCCCTGGAAAGCCTCCAAACACTTGGGTTGCTTTGGATGGCCTTAGAACTGGGACTTTCCCTCTATCTTGCCCTGCCTTGCAATTACATGTCTCTTTTTCCTTTACACAGTTTTTCTTACTCTTGACACCATTATATTCTGTCCAAACCATTTACTATTTTTTTTAAAAGATATTTGTCTCTGATTTGACACCATTATATTCTGTCCAAATCGTTTACTATTTTTTTTTTAAAGATATTTGTCTCTGATTTGACACCATTATGTTTCCTTTTTGTCAGATTGCCTTTTTTAAAAAGATTATTATTTTTTTATTATTTTATTATTATTTATTTTTTTAAGACATACACATCATACTGCTGGAAACACACTGAGTATATTGTTTGATTCGTCATTGTTGTGTTAAACTTGTTGTAATCATCAGTACATTATGTTTCTCTTTACCTTCAACATACAATAGATTATAGTGCAGATTGTGCAGATTAAAGGTATATAGTGACATTCATCTTGTGACATTGTATAGTGACCAAAAGTTACACTACATATGAAGGCAGGAACAAGGAAGCAAACCAGAGTTCAACAAAATGTTTTTGATTTGTGTTCTTGGAGGGCAATTTTCATTTTGGCGCTGATCTTCTACCCTATTCTTTTCGGAACCACACACACACAGATCTTGTCTGCCGGGGGTCTATGTAAGTGGGTCAACACATGCCAGCTGACCCTCAATCACTGCACTGCTCCTGAACAGGATCGGACGTGGGTCAGACTCCACTCCGCTTTGGTGAACTATCGTTCCAAGTAGTAAGAGTAGTAATTGTGTTTTTTCTCTTCTTATTGACACAAACAGCTTTTGTAACCTGATTCCCATCCATTAACCGGAGAAGAGGAGAACTGCATGGTGTCTATGTGTCTGTCAACTTGTTATAATGTTTTTCTGAGCCGTGGAACTGATAACGCGTTAATGGTATTTGAGAAACCTGTTATGTTGCTCCTGTACTGAATTTCTAGCTTCTACTTGAAAAATCTCTCGTTAAACTTGATGTTGTAATCAGACAACAGGTTTTTAGTGGGAGAGTAGGGACGTCACTATTTTTTCTTTATTTTTAAGTGTGCACATTTTACAGTTTCTGCTGAAACTGCCTTAATTGTTGATTTAATTTTACAGCAGAATTATTACAAAGTTGTTTGAGTTAACTCAACATAATCACTTTTCTTTCTTTTCAGTAAGGGGCTGACAGACAGTGATGATTCCCTGTAAAACTATAAACACAGGTATGTTTCTAGAAAGGTTTTTTGCTTTTTCCCCTTGTGAAAGAAGAGCGGTTTCACGTGAAGTTTTTTGTCTGAACCCGTGCTTAGTAAGGGCATCCATGTGTTAAGTGCAGTGTTGAAGCCTCTAGGGCAGAGGTCACTATTAGGCGGACTATGATCCAGGTCTGGAACCAGTGACCGTCCTCTTCATAACCACATCTATAACCAATAAATAATTGAAAACTGTCAAATTTTGACAGTGTTTCTATTTCATAGGTTTGTTTGTCTTTATGGCACCATTAGTGGCCCAGGAAACTCATAGACCAATTGCATCTCACCACTGAGCTGCATTGTATTCTATACAACTGTAATGTCCACTAAACCAGTTCAATCCAGCGTGATGTGTCCTGTCGCATCTTATGTTTTTGTGATCAATCTTAGTTTGAAGAGCAGAACAAGTCCCAAGAAAATTGGGGTTTGATACAAGAGGAAAAGAGAGGAAGAGAAAAGCAGTAGTTAAAGATGTAACCACAACTGAGACATTATTTAGCTACTTTGAAGCTATTTATCCTTGTCTTTGCACAATTTTGTGTCCATTATTCCAAATAACATGAAGAGTTGGCCCTCTTGTGTTCAATCACAATCATAGGAGAGAAGGTATTTTTGTCAATGTTTCAGTCTTAATAAATATGAACTCGGAGCATTAACGGGACAAAAGTTTTAATGCACAACAACAAACAACTGAGGAGGTTTGCCTTGCATCTAGTTTTGTGAAATATTTTGTTAAAAGATCAAGCATGAACCTATGCATATACTCTATGTGTCACTCAGCTAACATGCTACTGTTGACTAAATGTGCCGTTGAACCTTTGATTTGTGACAGTCTGTTTGAAGTCTACTACAAATCGTTCAATGTAATACAGCAAATCTGCTAGACAGAGCTACTGTATGTGGAAATGGTGTATGGGACTGAGTGCTGTCTGTGAGTGTAGCTCATTGAATCACTGGTGCAGACACAATGACAGTCTGCAGTTGCTCTTGCTTTCAGGTTACTTAGACTGATGTAGGCTAAACTCAAACTTTGATTGTAACAATTTCCAATGGCACATTCGTCTGATCACATTTATGATGTGACGAGTAACATACAGACACTGCACATCACACAGTGTACAAACTAATTTTTTATGAGTATGTTGACACCATCTTCACTGCAGTTCCAGTACAGACCAGTGGTGTTTTGCAGACACATTTGCAATCCAACAACAAGAATGTGTCTGTGTCACAACAAAGTCATAGAGTCTCTGAAATATAACAGACAATAACTGACAACACAACCTAGGTAATATATTGGACTGTTAACCCTATAAAGCAGTTTTCCCATAAGACCCTTACATCACCACTGATCGACACACAATGACACGGTGAGTGGTGTAGAGAAGCTATTTCTCACGTGCTGGCTTGAGACAAGCAGGAGGGGGAAACATCAATGATGCGTCTACGCCCAGAGGCAATTCTCATATGTAAGAGCTACTACAATGGGTGGGAACAAAATGAATGTGCATACTCTCTCTCTCTCTCTCTCTCTCTCTCTCTCTCTCTCTCTCTCTCTCTCTCTTTTAGCCTGCCTGTTCAGTTTGGATCAACACATCACGTTGCTCCTGAAACCCTTTTCACCTTTTAGCAGCTTCTGATTCTATCTTTTTGATTTCGTCATTACAAGATGCTGGGTGCAGGGACAAAAGAAAATATTTTCATTCGGAAAACGACTGCCTGTGGAGTCGACATTTGCACTTGTGAAGTTACCGCCATAGAGGCTTACTGTGCAGCATCATCCTCCATCCTGTCTATTAACCACCTTCTCTAATAAAAGTATTGGATCGCCGTGCGGTGTGCTGAGCATTTAGAAGCCTGTGAGCTGTAGATTCGACTCTAACTATGAGGCTGAGTAAACTAAATAGTGTTTTCTTGCTCGACCAAGAGCCAACATGGTGCGACTCCGGAAGCAACAGTTGGTGTCATATATCCTGGACGAGCCTAGTAGGAGTGAAAGGTGTATTTAAATCACAGCTTCGAAGTTAGGTTTGGGGTTTTCTGCTTTTTAACAATGATCTTACCTTCTGCTGCCTCCTTGCCATGTCAGTAGGTTGCTTTGCGTTAAACGGATAAGCGATGCAGCGCATCACAAACACATAGAGCTGGAGTCTCTTTTTCCTTTCCTCCTCTTCCCTCTGCATCTTCTCCAGGTCCTCCTTCTCCTTTTCGCTGCCGACTGACGGGCTGGGGCTGGAGGGTCGACCACCGCCGCTCCCGCGGCCCCGCGGCTGGAGCCCTCCTCCACCGTGGCCGTCGGCAGCTCGCCCCGGTGACAGTCGGGCTCCTCCGTGGCTTTTCGGGGCCGACACCTCTTTGCGTTCCACCTCCAGTACCTCATCCCCTTCCTCCTCGCTGGAAGACGGGTCCAACATGATGCCGAGGCTGTTGAAGTGTGGAGTAGACCTACCTGCAGCAAAAGTACAACTGTAAAAGTAGAAAAAAATACCGATCAGCTGCAGAGACGAGCACAGAGGGAGGGATCCGACTGAAGCTGCTGTGGAGACGCACAACCTGACTGATGAGCGACTGTTGCTCCTGAAGGGAAACACTGTCTCCAGACGAGTCGGTCTCGGCAAGACAAACGCAAGTGACGGTGTGGAGTTGGGATCGTGATTTCCAGACCTTTCAACTCTGCCAGTCAGCGGAACAGAGGAGGGATTAACCATGGGAGCAGATCCGAAGGGGGAGGGGTCGCAGCGGGGACTGATGATGATGTGTTGATGCTCTGCTGCCTGCGGGAGGAAGAGGCAGGGCCGGGAGCTGACCGCGGTGCTGAAACCCGATCCCCGGCTGCTCTGGGATCAGTTCGATCAGTCTGCGAGCACAAGAGATGAACAGCCACCTGATGAGCCAGTTGAGTCAGAGGAGGTCACATCTTTACAGCAGCAGCCTGGATTCACCAGAAAAGCTTCATTTCATCAAACCATTGATGACTAAATGATCAAAACATGAACATGATTGATATGTTAACAAAAGGGTTCTATTTACTATCCCTATGGTTTTTTGAGAGACTGCAGCTGGTTCTTAATAAGAGCTTATGATTTACATTTTATAACATATGTACATATAAACAGTATATTCAGCTGTATATCTCTCCCCATATTTCTCTCCTTCATAGAATACAAATACAATGGTAGTATAAAATTAGAACATTATAGTTAAAGACACATTTCAACTGGGATTTCAAAATTGTAATGGTTGGAGCATTCCGTAGATCATCAGGCAGTTGGTTCCAGAGCTGTGCTGAATAGTAACTAAAAGCTGCTCTGGTTTAGTTTTTACCCCGGGTATCGCTAGCAGACCACTCCCCACTGATTACCCAGGTCTCACATGGGTTCAACTGGACAAACGTGTCTGTTATGTATTTGAGAGCAGCTCCATTAAGAGATTTCAAAATCAGCAGTAAAACTTTAAAATCAATCCTCTGGCTTACTAGCAGCCAGTGTAGAGATTAATGAACAGGGGTGATGTGGGCAGTCTCTTTTGATTTGGATAAAACTCTTGAAACTGAATTTACGATGTGTAAGTGCATGATTGTCTTCCGTTAAAAAGTCCACTGTAGCCGTACATTTTACTGGAGATAAAAGCACAAATCAAGTGCTGCTTTGTCATGAAGTCCCTGGCTATGGTTGTTAGGTGATAACATGCTGTTTTTGAGATTACTTTAATGTGAGTGCTAGGGTTAAAGTTAACCCTAGCAGGGCTAACCCTTTCACTCTATCATTTTACAAGGCATCAACTTTACTCTTTACTGTAAAGTGCTCTGAGCTAATGAACCACGTGCTTTGATATTTAATAAACATTTATTTGAAGAATATCAATATCAATTTACCATATGAATGTAGTTAGCGCAATGGTTGTAGGCTAGCTAATTATTATAAAAATCTTAAAATTATGATTTAACATAAGTAATCAAGATTTTTTTTATGTGTATATTAACACCTGATATTTTCAGTTATCTATGATATGGATGATGAAGGGGCTGTGTGTTATTCCTTAGCCTAATTCATTTTGTCACAAATGTATCTATATGTACATATGGTCAACCAGTGATAACACCTGTCATAACACAACAGAAAACATCAACTTCTGTGTAAAATTTCAGATTAATTGTGTGTTAAACGAATACAAAGTTTCTCATCTCAAAGGTTTTGCTAAGTAACGTCTCACTGCATCTTGGATGGGTTCATATCAGTTCCTCATTCCCAACCCTACAATTTTTGAGCCCTTTGTGGCAGTCTTTGTCTGATTGTCTGCTTTTGTACACAGTGTTGTCCTCTTATCTCCTTTGTGACTCCTGTCGTCTGTTCCTGTTTGCCTGCCACCCTTTCCATTCATTTTCTTGGTTAACCACCCATCTGCCTCTAAGCCTTGTTTTCTTCAGTATGCTAAATCTTAACTGTATCATTGTGTCTCTGCATTTGGATCCTTTTCCAGTGTTTCATCAATTGTGACCAGATGACCAGAGGCTCTGCTTTATATGGGACTCTGGACAAAAATGCACACATAGCTTTTTTGTTGTGAATTGTAAATTGGATTATAAACATGGTCAAAGAAAATGTCCTGTGACTGGACCTGTTTTCAGCAAACATTGTACACAGAGTGTAAAATCTGGAAAGAAAATTGTGTTGATGTCATGTTGTTTGCTTCTTGCAGACAACATGACATCATGAAGACAAACTGAATGGCCCCAATCATTTGCAATTGTGTGCAGCTCCATCAATGCCCAAAGTCACTGCAACTATTTACTAATTGTATCAAATTCTAAGAAAATTCTCAACTTTATCAAAGCTACACACAATTTTAAAAAAAGTAATCGTCATCTTTACAATTAACTAACTTTCTGTTGTGGTACAAACACAACACAAACATTAGCAATCAACATACTGCATGGCATCACAGTCTGCTATACACCAGAGAGAATCATTTATAACACTTGTTTTCTGAAATCAGTCATTATTTTGAAGTTTGCACAGGGTCATTGTCTGCTGACACACATTTGCAATCTAACAACAAGAATATTATATGAAGACGTCAACACTTTTCCAATCCCTTATTTACTGAAACATATACATTTATAAATAATGTTACTAAAACAAAAAAATAATACAATCCCATATTGTTAATCTAGTTCAAATTGCTTTGCACCATCATTCGTACTCTAGTCTGGATTGAGCCACAACAACATCACAAAGGATTTTTTTCCTCGGCCAGGATACAGACGAACTGTACCATGTAATGTCTAATCCAGCCTTGAATGGACACATCCCCTTGGTCCATGGAAATCAAGATGTTCTGTATTGTGTACAGGTTTCTGTTACAAACCTTACACCAGAATGTGGAGAAAAAATCCTTTAAAATGGGAAAAATAAGTAAAATCGGTCTGTGAATGTGGGCTGGTCATTGGACCACGTGCAATCCAGAGCCACCCAATAGAAACTAGCATTATCCAGATGAAAATGTGTTGGGGCTGAGTTGAGTAAACCACAGTGTCAAACTGTCATGTTGATGAAGGATCCCTTGATTGCAGCACTTAGTCACTTTGCTTCTTCTCTGGCAAGGAACCTACAACGTTGTGAAGTAAAATCTATATAAGTAAAACAAGGATACAGTAAATACAGTTATGCAACAACACAATAGGCCCACTACATTAACTATACTACAATCTCCATCAATCATGTTGATGCCGTTAAACTTTAAATCTGTTCTCCTCTCTCTTTCAGCTGTCTTTTCAAGGATTTGATGCAAATGGCATTTGTTCTACTGCTCTACCACTAATAATAATTATAATATACTGAGCTACACTGCTGAGACATTCTTAAATCTTATATCTTAAATCTTGAAAAATCTACATCTTAAAAGATGTAAAAATTGCTACCAACTCAGGAGTAAATGATTCATCCTATCATGACAAATATTTCTCTGTATAATTCTCTGCATAATTCCCCCATTATTCATCATTGGAAACCCACTGTGACACTGTGGTAAACATATATTTATCAAGTCTGTTTGTTCATCCTTTCCTGTCTTTCTTTACTTCTCTCTTGGAGGCTGTTTTCTATATAACACAATATATATATATATATAGCCTAATCTCCTTTCTATCATGATGACATCATGAGGGTTCTCAGCACCAGATACAGGCTCTCATCATATCATCATCATATTTTTTATCAAGATCAATGAATTATTCTCTGAGAAATCATTTTTTTTGCAAACTAAAAACAAATCATATAAAGAAGGATGATTACATTTAGTTGTGTTTATCTGTGTGGCTATTTTCTTTCCTTTACATGACAGGTGCAAGTAAATACTGTATGCAAACATAAAGAAATATTCTCTGGGCAACTATACTGCCAAATGTTTTCAAGTCAATATGGATTTATTTTAAAAAGAACCTGGTCAACTGACTAACTAAACTAACCAGCTCACAGCCTAGCATGAAAAGACAAAATACCAAACATATTCAAATATTTACTGAAATAATCTCAAAATATATACATTTGATATCAAACTATCACACACATGCAATTGATCAAGTTTGGCGACTGTGGAGAGAAAAAAAACTCCCTCAGGATCTGGAATAAACCCCGAGCAGAACTCGTCTCAGTGTGGGCGGTCGTCTGCATTGACCGATTGGGGTGAGCAGAGAAAAAGGGGAGGAGAGGAGAGATGGGTTGAAAAGGGGAGAGAAGAGAGAGAGAGAGAAAGAGGGGAGGGGGAGGAGAGAGCGGAGAGAGGGACCAGGAACAGTTGTGTACCATCAGGTATCAGCTCTGACTAGTTTTTATAATGGAAACAATAATAAAAAATGTAATGATAGCAACAGCAATTCATATAATAGTGATAATAATAAACACAAAGAACACTAAGTCAGTGACATTTAGTAAAATAAATAAATGAATGTGGGGGGGCAGAGATACAGAAAGAAGGGGAGTAGTGCTCAGTGCATGATGGGGGTTCCTCCAGCAGTCTAGACCTATAGCAGCATAACTAAGGGATGGTTCACCTGATCAAGTAGCAACCAACATGGAGACTAGTGTAACTACAATATAACTTAATGACCACCAGGGGGACAACCTGATAATCTAGACCTGCCTGAATTTGGTCAAATAAAATGCTTTAGGAGCACAGTCACTGTTCATAGGGCTGGGGGATGGTGCAGAAAATGACAGTTTACGTATTGATTTGGACTAGAGCACAAGCTTAAGACACTCTTGGGTCTAATATGAAGTGTTTTGGTGGTTCAGTTGCATTTTAGTCCAAAGTATCACGTTAATCAATGTCACTGATGCCTCAGTTAGATTAACATGGGTTTTATTCACAAACATTCACTAGCCATTGGCATGATGAAGTCGCCTAATGACGTCACTGATGAGCAACCATGGTAACCTGCTGCATTTAAGTACATTAGTGCAACTCACCTCATCTACCCCTTTTAGAAACACAAAAGGCCTATGAAAGGAACATGCCCCACTTTGCTTAGGAAATGTAACCCTTAAGAATTCTAACTCTCCTACTGTGTATCAATACAACATTTAACAGACACAATAGACTGGAAAACTATGACTTTGGGGTAGACTGCCCTCTGCCAGCAGCGATGTAGGGATTA